TTGGCAAGGCAGGGAGTAAGTAAAATAAAACATCCACCTTTTAATAATATCGAAAACATTCTTGTTATATAGTTAAAATCTTGTTGAGCAATCTATACAAAAAAAAGTAGCATTTAACGGTCATAATCAGTCGAATGTTTCAGTATACAGCAATTCGTTTTATTTAATTGAACAAGGTCTATATTGTAAAGTAATAGTTAATTTTTCAAACTAGACCCTTGTGTTCATCAAATTATTTGTTTGTTTTTTTAAGCCATCCATAAATAAATAAATATTATAAATGGCTAAAAGAAATTAAGCTTGGCATCAAGTTTCTCGGAAGAGCGCCGAACAGGTTTGGATAATGTGTTTTTCTTCCCTTTGCTAAAATTCCGTTTTGAGCCACCGCCCACCTTATCCAGGGATAGAGGAAGCTAACTCACCCAATTGCCTATTGATTATATTATTTTATTCAAATTAATAAATTATTTATTAATATTAAAAATATTTAGAATGATCACTAGGAAAATTAATTGTAATTTTTTTTCCCTTTATAACAAGTTAAAAACATCGTAAGGAGGGGAGTTTTCGGAATTAAGTTATTAATATTTTGCTATGATTTATATATAAACCTCCACCATTGACAATACATTTTATGACCTCTTTCGTGGAATAAACTCTATCATCGCCAAACTATAACATTCAAGCATTACTCACATTGAGTGTTTCATAACTTCAATTGTTAAAAGTATATATTCACTAGATTTTTTAAATGGAGTTTAAGATAATTGTTGCTTAAAGAGAATCTCACTTTCAGCTAACAAAAAAATAATAAGGTACGTTCGTTCCTTTCAACGAGAGTTCTTAGTGCCTTCTTTGGTTTGGTGTATAGTTTGTTCCGTTAATTAACTACCTGGTTAAATATTTGTTGAACCATGTGCCCAGCATTGTTTTCTGATACAAACTCAACTACATGAAAATCAAAGATTAAACAAATTGTTTAATAGAGAAAATTCAGTAGTCATTATTCTCATTTATAAATATGTTTTGAAATAGTTTTGTAAGAAATCTACTGCAATGAAATAATATACTGCTTTATTAAACAGTTTGATGGAATTAATGTCAACAGGTAATTTATTATTTTAGACAATCCATAGTGATAAGAACATAGCAATCAATCAAAAAATATTTCAAAGAACTCAGTCAATTCATTGATTTTTTTGGTCTTCCTAATTTTTAATTTTGGCTGTTATAGTTTCAAATATCTGATGTTATTCGTTCAAAATTTTAGCATTTGTGTGTAAGGTGCAATTTAATACTTGTAAAGAATGCTGTAGCCCGATTCACACCTAAGAGATGCGTTTTTGATGCAAATATCCCATGTGTTATGCGATATTTCCTTTCGATCATTGTGTCGATCACGATCTATGAAAGCTAAGTTAAGGAAACCAAGCTAGGTTTGTTATAATTAATTCACTATATACACTCTGGGACGCTAAATAACACGATCTAATGGTCATTCCATTTGCGCCAACCAGGTTTTAGTCAAGTTTCATGATTTAACTTAAAACTTCGGGTCGTGATAAATGATATTATTATTTAAAATTTTTGTCATCTATTTAAGAAATTAAGCGATGATTTCCTCAGTTTCTGGTCTAAGTTGAATGGGACTGAGTAATCAATATCTGGGATTTCGTATTTTATTTTTGAACCAATAAACCACTAACGTTCTACTTCTGTGATGAAATCATCAGAATTTTCTTTTACGACCATTTATGTCAAAGCATACGTGCCAATTAACATACAAATAATAAGTAATTAGCAGTAACTTAGTTTTTGATAGGCTTTGAAAGAATTTATATCTAACTTAGCTTATTTAAAGCATGTTTTTGCAATTGATTGGATATCTGAACATTTAAAAATAAATATGAGTTTAAAGTATTTAATTTTTACAGTTTTATGTTAAATTTCAGTTTCTTTTTAAATAATCATTCATATTTTATGTTAATTTTTTTCTCATTTGTGACATAATTTCATACATTTCCTGAATTCTGAGCTCAATTAATCTATCAGTGTATGCTCATCATAATATAAAATCTTTCAAACCTGTGGTTCTTATATTCTATTAATTTATTTTATAATTTATGAAAAATATATTTATTTCTACATTTTTAAAGTTTTGATGACGAAAACTTTATTTTCATTTATGAAATTTTCGAATATTATTTAGTGAAAATTCGGAAGGGATTAAATGTTATCCAAACTATTATATCTAAATAATAAAATGGTTGCAGAAAAATAAATAATTGATTAATATTTCTGTTAATTAAAAATAATCGTTTATAATTACAGTTCAGTAGTCTAAAAAATAGGTTATGCGTTTCCATCAATTATTGACAATAGGGGAAACTAAGTATCCGTGTGAAGGCCAAATAGGGGCAAGTTCGATGACCCATCTGGCAGAGCTGGTAAACAGCTAAACCTGTTTCCAAGGGCTTGGTCAATGTCGGAGGGTAGTGCCATCGGCAGAAACAGTAGCAGACGAGGTATAGTGACGATGGTAGGGAAGGCACTGAAGATACGGAATACCACCATTAATTTATTAATAACATCCAGGATCCCAAATATACAGAAGGATAGTCACAGAGTGGAGAAGAAGAATAAATGGAAATTATGTCAGAAATTTGAGATATTCTACTCATTCATATCAATGACAGGCTTATAAATTTTTTTTTTCAAAAATTATGATTTTCAATAACGATGAACTTATGCCACTGAAGGATGAGTCAAACGGATATGCAGAAAACAACCTCGCTGATTCGAAAGTATATGACGAATTAACAGATTACCACCGAGGTCGATAAAATATTATTAATCCATAAAATCTATTATACATAAAGTCATTACTAGATGAGGAACTCCACTTAAAGTAACCTGCATTCTCAATCACTAAAGTAGGACATGCTACTGGCATTAATCAATATTCGATGCATGCTACCTTCCGAAATATGCAGATGGGAACATGGCAGCCTGAGAAGCTACGAAGGAATCTGGTTCCTGAGGGGACGCCTAAGGCAAGAAGAACAGATCCATCATTTCGCTATAATTGGCGCACGAGTAACACACTAATGGAAGATGGATCTGCCATGCAAATTACACTTCGGTGTTGTTTTTTTTTTGGTGAAAAAAATTAATCGATGATTTGATTTTTTATTAAGGCTTTTTAGATATTACAAATAACTCCCTCTCCTCTCCCCAAAAAACTTAACAATGGATACGCCCATGAAGTCGTTTATTTGAGGCTGATCACAACTTCTTATTTTTTTTTATCATTATTAAATAAAAGAAAAAATCTTTATAAATAAAAAAAATTGAAACGTAATACTGAAGAGAAGAAATTTAATTTCCCTAAAATTCTGTTCATGTCTCAACGAAAATCTTGATCCCTAGAGATTATGAAACAGGAAGATGGAGGTCATTATTGTCTAGGTCTAGGCCGTCCCTCTGACATTACTGTCTCTTCAAGGATTAATTTCTCTTCATAAGTCTAATCTCGCAAACCTTTATGTCTTCAGAGATTCTTAGAAATTCATTATTACAACTATTTTTTATAGAGTTGAGGAAAGGAGGAAAGAATTATGATCTTTGTCTTTTATCACTCAAGTATTGATATAACTTCATGATATATTAATATGTAGCTGATTGCATAACTTATTGGACACTCTTCTGTTATACAAATTGAAGAAGCGTGCCACTGATCCGGACCTGATGGGAGGGATTCACCGATAAGGGGGATAAGGGATCACCGAAATTCCGTATTAAATGGAATATGTTCAAAAGGCATATAACGAAATATTTTTCTCTGTTGATAAACCTTTTTTGTTTGTTTTTTAGCTTAATCCAAAAATTTCATTCCGATTTGCTCAATTCTACATAGTTTACACTTAGATCTGAATTAACGACCTATCTCAGGGTCACATCTGTAAAAAATCTGTACCACTACAACCCATCAAGGGTCTTGGGTTCAGTATTATTTAGGTAAAGCACTGTTTCTTGGTCTACGGTTGTGCAAGGAGGTGATTTGACCGAAATCATGCTCAACCGCCAGGTTTTTCCCTTAATTAATTATTTTAATTAGGGGTACCCACTTTATAGAGGCTGGGTGTGCCCCAGGAGGGTCTACCTACCCATGGTCGCCTCACGGCCGATGAAACAGAATAAATAAATTCTCTGCCATGAGCCGGGATTCAAACCTGAGACCTTTAGCATTGGAAGCTCAGTACCCTACCAATGAGCTACCCCACTCCCTGGGGTCACATCTAAGAGTTTAAAACTCAAAATTTATTTATTGCACAATACCGCATAACAAACCAAGGTTGTACCAAGTGTTGTAATATAAAATTAAGAATTTTAATAACACAATAAACTATTTCGGCATAACACAATCTAAACTGTTTTATTTCTTGTAAGATGATAACATACATGTATAATCCCCCCATTTTTTAACTTTTTTAACTCCTCTTTCTAAAATATTTTCTTACTTACCGCTCGCTAAATTAGATGTTTAGTATAATCAATCCTAATTATTTTTTAAAATCTCATCCGAATTAACCAGATGTACAGATGATCGGAAACCTGATTACTCCTAATTTACTGTATTTTGGATGTAACACTGTATTTATCATTTTTAATCAATTATTACAATTTTAAAAATGTAATAAACTTTATAAAACAAGGAACCATCATATATACATGTTATTTCATTCTTGAGAAAGGTAATTTGTTTTCTGATATCTCTGGAAGTATTGTTTTGGTAAAAGAGGTAGATAAATTGGCCATCTTGTTTGTGTGTAGAGAATATTTTAATCACAAACACTATTAAGAGCAAATAAACTGATTAAATTGGAACAATTAGAATAGTAATATTATTATTATTATTTATACTCCTTTTTTCCATGATTGAATCTATTTTTTTTTAATTCATGTTTTTTATATACTAACAAATAATTTCTAAATTGCAGATATTATTGGTTTCGCTGGGCCTTATAGGGTTGACTTTTGGCAGCCATTTACAAGATTCTAGGCAATTCCTATACCAGCAGCAGCAACAGCAACAACCTGCCAGACAGTATGTTGCATCACAATACCACCAACTTCCTGCGGCCACCCATCTACTTCCGTAAGTTATATTTCTTCTTCAATTCTTCTTTCAAAATAGAACATATTTTAATATCATCGGGTATTTTTCATAGTTCCGAAAATTTTCAACATTCAACAAGGAATTTTCAACATAAATTTCCTTTTCTCCATATTATTTTAAATTTCAGATGAAATTCTAGGAATTTCAGAATTTCTATTTAATCCGTCAAAATTTGGCATCAACTGAAATTTAAAATTTACTGAACCAAAGAAATATGCTACAAATTTCTGAGATAACTTGGGATAAAAAAAAAAAAAATAGCTCTGCCTTCCTCTCTTCTATAATTGGTATTTTCTAATAGGTTTATTATTTTCTCATTTCACAATTTTTTGATTTTCGGAGAACATTAATTTTTATAACTTTAGGGGTACTGATAAATGCAGTATAGGTAAATGAGTAGGAAACAATTAAGTTCGGATTAAATTTGTTCATTTAAACTTTATAATTTGTGTCTGAATTTGCAATTTGAGCAGGTACATTTTTATTTTTAAAAATTATCATCTTATAGAAGTAATTTTAATTTAATGTGATTAACTAGGTGAAGGCCTGATTGCGACCTCTTGTTCATAAGAACATGTTTATTCAGCATAAAATTTTCTATAAGAATCCTTGGTCAGTGGTAGTTTTTTTCCTATAAATACTTTTAAGCTTGAAGTCGAAACAAATACTGGTAATTGTACTGATGGGGAAAATAGTCCGGCTAGTGGGTCTTGTGTCAAAATCAGGAGGGAAACGTTTTTCTTTGATCATCAATTCAAAACGAACTCTATTCCAACAGTATTGTAATGTAATCCAGTGTATTGTAATGAGTATTGTTAAACAAAATTGTATGCTTTTATATTTATTTTATTATTTTATATTCATCCATGCTATATAAAATGTGTCTACATCAATCTGTTCATAATTTAAATTCACTTTTGAAATTTCTTGGATCAATAGCTAATACTTTTTCTTTTGTGCTGGCATCAATTTCTAAACACCCATTTTTCTTATATTCCAATTGTTTTTGCCAACAGGAACAATGTCAATGATGGCGTAAGGTATGGACAGCAGTCACTTGTGTACGTAATGCCTCAGGGTTCACAGTACCTCTACGAGGAGGGTGCTGAACAGCCACAGCAAGCTCAACCTGGTGGAGCTTATGTCGAATCTTTCTTCAATTTGGTCAATAACCCATCAGGATATCATCAAGCAGCAAGTGACCAAAAGCCTGTCCATCAGCAACCTGCTCTGCCTTCTGGTGAGTAAGATATTCTTTCCTCCATTTAGATTATGCGGATTGTCTCATCTTATGGGTCCAACCAGAAGTTTATACTTATCAGCCACTAACTTAATAGATTATTTTATTTAGAATGTTTTGTTTGTCATGATACAAATAAGAGAAACCAGGCATTTTTTTTTTTTTTTTTTTTTACAAATTACATTTTAAATGTGAAGACCTTTTAAATTATACTAGTATTCCTGCAGTTGGAAACAAGAGGTAGTGTATGTAATAATCTGGTAGGATTATTACACATTAAAATTAATCAACTTTTATTTCTTTTAAACTATAGGATATCTCTCACCCTTCTTACAATCAGGGTCGGCCTTAGGGCTGGGCGACCCGGGCAATTGCCTGTTCATCAGCACCAGCGTGAAATGAGGTGCCCGCAACGAAAATAATTAATTTTAGCCCATCAATAAAGCAAATAAATATGAAACATAATAAATGAAATATAATTTAAATATTATTTAATTAAAAACAACTTAAGGAAACATTTATTTATTTTTTGGGAGAGATGACGCCAATGTCCAGGATCACAAAATGTCTAAACCTGGCACTGCTTACAATAGTTAATGTACAAGCAGTGAACCAATAAATAAACAACCTAAAAATTAAAAAAAACTTTGATAATTAAATATTTGACCATTTTAATAATAACAGAGAAAATGGTCATAGTGGTAGTCAAGATTGGCACAAAAATCAATCTTTTTTCCTAATTAGTAGACCTTCATGAATACAATATTAATCTTAACCACCACTATTTTCTCCATCTTTAAAAAAAAAAAAAGGTCTGCCTCTAATAAAAGTAAAACTAAAAAATCTGTGCCATATTTAGTTTAAATTCATTTGTAATTACATATTGTCCACAATAGTAGTCATTAATCGGAATAAAACCACAAAGGTATTTTTCTTCTTTTTTTTTTTTGTATGTGAGTTTTCTCACTCATTAATTAATAAATTATAATTGATATTTATTTATTTAGGAGCTGAAAAACCTGAAAGGCTTCAGGCAGAGCGACCAAGTTTGCCAACCCAGGCAGCTCAGCAGCAGCACTACCTCCAACAGCTGGCTGCTCAAGAACAGATACAATATCTTCAACAGGAGGCCCAACGTCATAAGTTTATGGCTTTGTCTTCTCAGCCTCAATATTTCCAGCAACAACAACAACAACGACCAGCTGCCGCAGCACCACATAATCTCTTCTACTACAGTTTCCCTCAGCAGCAACTTCAGCAGGTATATTTGATTCAGTTCACTAAAGTTACAACCTTTAACAGTTATAGTATGTTATACCCAACAAATTTCATAGAATAGATTCAGTATTATATTTTTTTCAATAATTGTCAATGTAATAATATTCAGAATGGAGATTTTCTTTATTCTGTATTTACATCCTGTAATTTAAATATTAATACACCACTCTAATGGTTTTGTACAATATTATTACAATTTTCTTTTCCCCCCCATTTAGTATGCCCAAGCCGATAAAGCTGCAGCAAGGCCACATCACCCAGCTGCTTTGGGATTTCAGAAACTCCTCCTTAGGTCAGGCCAAGAGCAAAATAATGCTTCAAGTGAGATCAGTGGAGAGGAAAGCCAAGAATCCCAGACACCAAACAATCAAGAAGAAATTGGTAATTCCATTAAAGACATCATTTGAAGTATATTAAATCATTCCACCAGAATCAAATAATAATATGGGAATCGTGAGATTTATTTTTTCCTTGATGAATACATATTGAAACAAGTTCTAATAAATATAATGTATTCACTCAATAAAATAAAATATAACTCTAAGCTAAAATAGAAGGTTTTACAAGAACACAAATATTCTTTCGGTTTCATATTATTATTAAATGTTCTTTCAGACAGATAAAAGAAAAATATGTATATATAATGATCAATTAGTTACTGAATAAATACAATGTTGCAGGACCAAGCATAGCTCAAGCTAAGCCACAAGCCATTTCCGTAGCAGGACCAGGAGGCGTAGCAGCCGCGGCTCCAGTCGGTACAGCGGTGGTAGGACCCGGTGGTATGGCACTGTCTGCTCCTTCAGCCACAGCTCTTGCTGGTACCAAGCCAAGGCCTGGTCAGCAACCAGGTCAGGCAACCAAGTTAAGGCAGGCTCTTCGCTATGCATACTGACTTCAGGGACAATGACTCGTAATTTATTTCCAATGACTCTCCTACTGTGTGTGTGTGTTTTTTAAAAATAAACAATTTTTTAATTTAATCTGATTTTTTTTTTTACCTTTCCCTTTACCTGGTTTAAATTAAATTAAAACCAATAATTTTATTCAGTGAAATTTAATTTATTACACCTTAAGAGAACAAAACACAGAAGTTACTTTTGCTAACATTTGAAGGTCATTTTTTTTGTTTTTACAATTTACTAAGTTAAACATTTAATATAGATATCACATTCAATTATTACCCAATAAATCTATCAAAGAAGAAATTTCAATTGCTTTAATGTGTAAAAACTAATTTATTCCAAAATATAAATCAGAAAGTATATTACTATACACCATATATATGTAAAAGAACATGGAAAATGTGCAAAATCGGGCAGTAAGAACCACATCTGTATAAATTCAGAGATTATATAACAACTAAGCATACAAAAATCATTGTTTCTCTTTAATTTGTAAAATTAGTACATGGAAAGTTTATTTAACTCTTAGACAAACTTGCATCTATTATAATGCAAGAAAACTAATGCACATGTATATATATATATATATATATATATATATATATATATATATATATATATATATATATATATATATATATATATGTCTAAGAGTTAAATAAACTTCCCATTTACTACTTTAACAGAAACAATATTTTTTGTAGGCTTAGTTGTTATATAACTCAAAATTTTACACAGTTGTGGTTCTTACTGCCCGATTTTGCACATTTTCCATGTTCTTGTTATACAAAAATTGTTCTCTAATCATAACATTTAATTTACAATTAAAATTTTTTTTTATCTTGCCATTTCTGAGGTATAAGGAGTTTTCCTACAAGTAACAAACCTATATAAGCCACAATGGTGTGGTTGAGATTCGTTCTGAAGGTTCATTACAAATATTTCAACCTACCCAGGCCACATTCAAATAGGTACCTTAGACTCAAGGTTGCTAATATGATGCTTAATACTTCACCTGTAAATAATTTTCATTGTCAGATTGAATATCCTATAGTTTTAGAGCTGTTCTTAGCCTGTTTTATCCTCCTCTGCATGTTTTGGGCTATATCTATTTTTATAGCTTCTTATATTTATCAATTTTTGAAGGGAAAAAATCAGATAGCTTATGCAATAGAACTGTTACTACTATTAATTATCAGCCTAAGAGTTTTGTATTTTTTTTTTTTAATTTTACAAAACTGTGTATTCTAGGGGTCAGTGAAATTATTGGCTACAAGTTTTGTTAGTATATCCAAATATTTGATGATGGTTTAGATGTTTATTCATTTTATTGGTCAGACTCATTTCAGAGTTTATTGTGCTTTTTTCAAATGTTTTGTCATTCAAAATAATTTCAATTTTCTACAAATTTTCTTATTTTTCCATTATCATTTTTTATACCTGTTCTTACTGCTAAGGACCAATAGGCCCACTTGCTGGACTGGAAGTCCCCCCACCTGTTATGATTATTATTTTTAAAGAACAGTATCAAGTCATAATCAAATATTAGTTCAATTGTTTGATTTTCTTAAATTTGGTAATGGAATTATTTATCTATTTTTTTCATACTTACAACTTCATTAAAAATAAAAATGAATCCAGTAAATGTGAACACAGTAATATAATATCATGAAAATACTTATGGAGAAACTACCCATTGGTAGCATTCTAAAATTTATGATTTTGCATATGCTATCTCTTAGTAACGTCTTGAGGCTATCAATTATTTTGATTATGTTTGTTATTTCTTTATCAATTATTCATTGTCAAAACTTAGGTTTATATCTAATGAGAGTAAAATATTTTATTTTACAATATTGGCATTTGTTAAATTTTTTGGCCTATTACTATTTTCATATAAGATGAATCATAATTTCTCCAATAGCATTCTCCAGGAGTTCCAAATCTGGGCTGAACCATCCAATATTCTTGCTGTCCCTAGCCACTGTTTGATTTTTAAAATTAGGATTGGTTTGACACATTCTTCATAGTTCAAAAATCAAACCAGAATTTTAAAACTCTAAGCTTTATTTCACATGTTATTCTTACAGAATGAACGCTATCGAGCAAGCTTCAGTTTTTCGACTGTTCAATTCCTATTAAAACACCTACAAACATTGCAGTAAAATATTAAATAAACATATAAATATGTAACACTTGTGATAAATGTTCTTATTTTTATCCACTGTTTATGTAGTAAAAATTCTGAATTTAAGTTTTTTTTAATGGGAGCACTTTTTGATCACTATCAATCATTGTAATCAATGGCTAATTGATCAATTATCTTTTAATAAAATGAATTTTTTTGGATTCTTTCTACTTACCCATTTCTTTTTCTCAATCTGTGTTTGAACACTGAATTAAACCAGAGGTCTCCAAACATTTTGACCTTCGGGCCACTTTGAAAACTCCACTAAGTCCCGCAGGCCATGGCTTGTGTTAAAAAAAAATCCTTGTTCTATAAATGACATTTCAGTAGTAAAAGGAGCTTTCTAAGAGAAACAACTCATACAATAAATGTTATAGTGACCTCCTGTTTGAGTGATTTACTAAATTTTGTATTTTTAAAATTTTATCATGTAACCAAAGAAACTTTCGCAGGTCGGATTGGAAGTGCTTCCACAAATTAATTTTATTATGAGAAAGGTACAAAATAAAATATCATGTTTTGAACCTGATTTTATTTCCATCATTGATATGGTGTATCTTGATAGAGTAGCTTGACCCAGATAATCTTTCATGATATTGAGGTGATTCTTTGAAACTGTTTGTAGAGGGATCAAGTTATATATTATCAGCAATGTAAGCATGAATTTAATATCCCTAAAAAATTGGGTGACTGAAGAACAGATAGATGAATGAAAATTGCTACAATATATCACTTTGAACCAAAATGTAGTGCAAGCGCCTACCATTTTTTAATAACAGAATATGTAAATTAATAAAAAACATCAAGTTTTGTAACAATCTAGCATCTTGGACTTCAATTAATTCCTAGAAAACATTACAACAGAATAAGTTGTACATTAAGAAACAATTGCATTTATCAGAGATGGTTAATAGCATGCCCCTCAAGGCTGCTTGAGAGGTCTGTGAATTCTTTAGCGGTTTTTCTAATAATCTAGTTCTGGTATTATTTAACATTTAAATATATAGATTTGAAATCTTTCATTTCTTTTAAAAATAAACTCTATGTGATTCTTATAAACTTGAACAGAATATGGAGGCATCTTTTATTACTCCCTTATTTAAATATGACCTCAAATGATAAAAAAAAAATACTCCATATATAACATGTAAAATAAAATAATTGATAGCATCTTATGTATTGTTTCTCAAATATATATCCCTTTTCTGGCTCTCAGGAGAGATGGATTTTGACGAATGAGGTATCAATAGAAAGGGAATATCATGTAAAGTGCGCGAATCGTAATTTTGATTCATAATTTTATACCTGGACTTAAGTAAAAGTGGGAGGTTTCAAACCCTATGATGGTGCCGTCTCAACGAATCGAGGCGTTACAAATGGAGTCATAATAGGGGAATAACTCGGAAAGGACACAATTTTTGGCCCATTATGCATATGATTATTTGAAAGCTTACTAAATTCCCTACAAAATATTTTAAAAAATCATGGAAAACGAACTATGTGGTGCAATGATATAGCGTTCTAAACATTTAGTATTAAATCTACTTTAAAGATTTTGTGCTTTATATCAGTTTTGAATTACTCAAAAACTTTAAACTTATTTAAGTAATAATTGATTTTATCAACTATATTTTAGTATAATTTTATTTTTTTCATTGAATATTTAAAATTTTTCAAGGGTATATATTAATAATAAAATTTATAATATCAAGGAAAACCCTTTTTTTTACCCTTATATACATGCTTGGATCATTTAAATGAATTAAAGCATGGAATAAATATATAAGGGTAAAATAAAGCTTTTTCCTCGATATTATAAATTTTTTGAGTAGAATTTTTTATTTAACAGGAAATTATATAAAATATTACTATGTAGATCAATATTGGTAAATACTTTTAATAATGCATTATTCTTTTTCTGGCGAGAAAAGTAATATGGTATGTAGCACATATCTTATTTCTAATTATTTAGATATATTAAACTGTTGTGTAATAAGTTTCAGCTTTCTGATTTGGTTACTTAGTACTAAAATTTGGTTTTGTTAAATTAATTATTAAATTTGTTTTTATTGCTATAAATATCTCATCCAATAAACATTTTAGGAATATTTGTTAGTCTATATAGTTCATTTTAAATAAGATATTATCTATATATATATAGGAGCTATTAGATGTTTATCATTTTGAAAATTTACTTGACTATTTTTAATGACAAAAGAAATATCTCTTTTTTTTTTTCTGTACATACAGCCTGCTAGCTCAAACCGTTTTCCTTCCAGAGAACTAAATCCAAAGTATTTAGCCTTCATCAGATATTTAAAGGAAATATTTAGAAGGTTTTGTAAACTTAAGAAAAATATAATATTATAATTATAAATTTAATGAAACTAGCAAGGGTTAAACTATGGATGGATATAGATCATAATATTTATAAACTGATAACTTACTAAATAGAAGTATTAAAGCTTTGCTTAGAAAGATTACTAAAAGGAACTTATGCTGAGCCCTTTACTTATTGAAATCTGATACAAATATAAGGTTTGTGCGAAGTATTGCGAAGAAAACCAAACTTATGCACTAAAGAGCATTTTAAGACTATAAAAGGTAAAAAGTGAAATTGAAAATAAGCTTTGGCAACCAGCACTCCCTCATTTCCAATTACTGGGCATACTTAGTATAATAAATTAATAAAAGAATACATAACAAAAAATATTTTTATTTGGTTATACAACAAGGTAAGAATTCAATACTTAAAAATATTATAATACATATATATACAAATAATTTTTGTCCATGAATTAAATACCTTGTACACAGATATGAAGATTAAATATCATCAAATTAAAACAAAAAATGTATGCAAAATTTATGACTTAATTGAGTTATTATTTTATACAGGATTTAACATGAAATGAAATGAATTTAAAATAAAATATGCATACAAGTAAATAAATATTTAAAACATAAAAATGATTGGGAGGAAACA